CTAATTAAAGTCTAGTGCGTGAATATACAAATGTAAAAGCTTAGGAGTGTTATCTCCTTCTGAAATTTAGTTTCGTCAATGACTATATATTTTACTTGCAAGTATTATCTGGTGACAATAGTAAGCTAAATCATGTTTTATTTTCTAAAATACATCTATACCTATATTTAGGTAAAACTAGGTGTCAAGCCCCCCCCCCCCCCCTACTGCGCTCGGGTGCTCAATTAGTGCAGGAATTTATAATATTTTTTTTATATATAATGTCTCATTAATTTCGTCGATCATTTAGAAGAATAAAATGTAATAATTACTCAAACTTTTGAACTTATGATCGTTGTGTTTTATATGTCGGTGTATTAAACCACTAGTTCTAAATAATAATTCAGTAATTAGTAGGTGTTCTATATTGTTGGATTAAATATCATTCAAGCTCAAGAGATAAGATTAGAAATGTTTGTTGCTTTGATAGTGTACAATATTTCATTACTGCTTAGTGCCTACATACATTATGCAGATGTGTTTAATATATTCCTGTGTTATCATTGTAGTTAGTAGAACTGTTACTAGTTGAATATGTATTATCATGAGATAGATCGTAAATGACCGGATTTGAACCCGCAATACAGGGCTTAAGACTCTTTTTAACTTTAGCTAGTTGAATTCTCTTGGATATTGAGTTTTACTAGTTGTCTCCCAAGTAAATGATTGTTTTTTTTTTAGATAAAATATACATAAGCTTATATCTGTCCTTGTATTATTAGATAGTATGGATGGTGTACAATTTTTTGCTATCTGCCTCATTTTTAAGTATATACTTAAAAGAACGAAGTACATTGTACACTATATATTACAGAATTGCGTTTCATGAAAAGTTGTTCAACCTTCGTGATAATACAACAAATAAACTCATCTGTTACTTTGTAATTCTAATGTAACACGACATATGTGTGCCGGATCATCTCACATTCGCAGTCAGAACTACGGATAGCATATGGCAGGTCAATACGAATACAAATGCGATGTGGGATCTGTTGAATTTGAGAGATTTGTCCTGGTTTCCATCTATAGCTCAGTCACTCACGTTAGGTGACCTACAAACGGAGAGGCTAGCTCTCGAATTTTTTATGTGCAGCCTGTTTGACATGCTAATGTTAGTCGGAGTTTGAACCTACAAAGGCATGAAGTATTCAGCTTATTTATAGTGGCCAGCTGTCTGAATGTACGGGGTCAACTACCTACAGCGTTAGGTGTAGTCTTAGGCGATATACATCGTATATAGTCGCAATATCTATGTATCAGAGCAATATCTAGATACTGCATTGGATATTGCTGATATGCTATCGCGTTCTTTTTCAGTAACCGGAATGACAAACAATCTGACGGACTAGTTGTGTACAGTCGCCGTCGCCTCTATGGGTACATGATCCCCTCCGATCGATCCCCCGTCCAATTCAAACGGAGACCCATATTACGACGGCCTGAGGTTCGAACCCCTAGTGGTGCCCTCAGACTAAAGTTGTGTACGACAGGCGGGAGTTGGCCTTCCGCCGCTCCATAAGTCCTTCGCGGATTTGGAGTGCCATCTGCACTCGCCCCCTATCGTCCGGTGAAGCTGTAAAGGCGAGCTGCGCCCAACAGCATTAGAGTTGTCTCACCTTCAACCGATAACGACTTTAAAAAATAATTTACTCTCTGTAATAGGTTAGGTAGAGACAATATAATTTAACTTTAACTTGACTTTAAAATTAAAACTTTAGAGTCGATTTACCAAAATATTTTTTAGTTAATTGATTGTTGTATTAAGGTTGCGACATTTTTATGTATATCTACGGGTATATTGCTAATTTAAATCTTATACTTGTACATTTCAATACCGCATGTAAATGATATTACCATAGATAGTTACATGTAGACTCATACTTAACTAACCAGCCACATGCTAAAAAAGAAGACGTATTTTTTTTAATAGCAGGTACATTGTTTAATAATTTAACTGTTGATGAATATTATAGAAATAAATTTAATAATATTATTAGCATACTGAGCCTACACTTTAAGAATCTATCTCTAAGTCTTGTTTGCATTAGTAAGTTGTTTAGCTTTAAGATACTAAAGCAATTTCACGCTACACAAACTTATATGGCACGTACAGGATGGCCTTGGAAGATACATTGCTTTTTGATGTTAAACTGAGGCAGGTATATGTAATTTAGTTTAGTTTATAATATACAACATCCTGATAAGTAAACAATCCAAAATTCATTTACGTTTCATAAACAACTTTAACACTTTGCTTGTGAGCTAAATAAAAATATAGATACTCTATTCTCTGCGTATAAATTTTGGAAAGATACAATTTGGTAAAATAAAGACACTGTCACGGCTGTTATTATGAATGAATTAGTCAGAAAAGCACTGTCAACTATCGACGTCATAGTGAGCACAATATTTCGCTGGGTATATTTGATTGTAATACATAACGATGTAGTACCACGGTACTACAGGCGAGCGTATCCTGGATTTTTATATGGTTAAATATATGGATTCCCTGATGAATATATATATATATATATATATATTCATCAGGGATATATATATATTTATTATAGATATATATTTTTTTTCCGAATATCGGTTAGATTAGAACTTAAATAAGTTAAAAAATTTAAACTTTAAAAAATTTATTACCGTTGGGTGTAAGTTGGGATACAGGACTTAGGCCACGTTGCATGAAACAAATAAAATAAAATTATATTCACATAAATGTTTATTTTATCATTCACGAATCACCTTTAAACTTTATAGTAAGTAAGTTTAATTAAACTTTAAACTTAGATGTCGAAGATCGGAAATCAATTTTTCGAGTCCATTTCGGGATAACCAATGCGGTCGGCCCGAAAGGAAACTTTCCAAATTGGAATAGTTCCTGGCTTATTTCGTTGTCCCCCCTTTTTGTGGAGGCGGAGGGGTGTGAGGGAAACTTGCCTTAGCTTGCTTTTTCCATACGTCAAATCTTGTTATATTGACTTTTTATTTCAATAAATAAACCTAGCGGTATTACGAATTTGACATATTTTTCAAAATTATTCACCGTTTTAGAGTAATAAAAAAATAAAACAATGTTTGTTGGCCAAAGCTTATACAAATATATATATTTAAATACATCTTTATATAGACACTGGCATTTACTTATGAATATGGTAATGTAAAAAATAAATTGAAACGTACATAACAGATTTCTGTCACGTTTACTTTATAGTAATAATATAATAATACAAACCACTACAAAACTTGGTTCGTATAAAATTAGAATAGTAGTAACTTGTATTGAGATATGCCAGCTGCTAGGAACTTCCTCTTCGGAAAATATTTTAAGTACGGAACTCGTTTACATACAATGTTCAGGATTAATGTAATACTTAGAAACTTATCCTATTATCTTGGATGTTGAGCGAACTTTAGCGAATTCAACAATAACGTCGTGTTTCTATTCTATAAAATATACTTTAATGTTTTATTATATTTTCATATATTTACTAGCCGAGCTGCTCGGCTTTTCTCACATTAATTTATAACAAATGTGAGCCACCTTATATCAGGTACGACCGACTGCATCACATCATACTGCTTTCCTGCTTTACTACTACGTATTCGGCTAGCATTTCTATTCTCGGTTCCTAAAAATTGTAGCTTGAGCTTAAGAAGTAAAAATAATAAAAATAGTAGATTGCAATCGTGCTTACTTACTTTATGAATTTTTAGACCGGGGCTTGGCATATTCTTAGGAATTATCCCTCTGCGATATATGATTAAAAAAGTGGTAAAAACGGAAATAAAAGTGTCTACTTAAATTAAATTACAAAAGAAAGTAATTCATAGAAAAGGCCTTTTGCCAAGTAATCGACGGATGTACAAATCAGAGTCCACACCTAATTATGTAGCATATCGCGACCACCACAACTTATAATACTGAACATATGTCTAAATAGAGGTTGTTTATGGTGAAAGATAAGCCAAAGCTATCGGAGCTTCGGTTTATCTCGGCAATTCAGGATTGTACATGGCTGTAAATTTTTTGCCCGCTTTTACGATTTACGGCGTTATAAATTCCGAACGAATGCGGATAGTAAAACGAAAAGCTGAGTGAATTTTTCAACGAAACCTCAATTCCACGTACTATGTATATATGTACCTACACAGGACGCTGACGGAGCTCATAGCACAATTTTATTGCATACTTACTCGTAAAAACTTACTACTTATTTGAATTACGTGCTTTTCATGTATTTACATTATAATCTTGCTGTCCATTATCACGATTAGCAAGATTGAGGTCTACAGTTCGATTTTGATAGACACTACCTAAGAAGACTTTGTACAAAGTCGTCTGCGAAGATACATTTGTCCCACTTATTTTTTCGGTTAAGTAAAGTAAAGTATTCAGCTCTGAAAAAAAAGCTATAGCAGTGAAATTTCAGTGTAAGGAGAATTTAATGATATAGTAGCGACAATGTACTTATTTACATAACTTTAATGCACATACTTCAAAAATTAATATAGGGCACTTAACAATGGTTGACATGGTTGTCAAAACAATACACATACTAATATAATAAATAGATTCATATATGTATACCATACATAAATAAATACCTAATAAACAATGACAAGTACATAGAACAAATTGTAGTAGAATTTAGACAGACAATGACAATTATCACTATCAACCATATGCGCTATCATCTTATTTGCTAGTCCAAAAATCAAATATGTTTTTCGATTATGAATTCAATTATATATTTAATAACGGCGCATATTGCTCAGCGGCACAATACCTTCTATTCTAACGTAAATTACATTACCTTGCGTAGTCTCTTCAGTAATGCAAGACAGCTGTGTAAGTTAGTGTTAAGTTGATAAAATAGGCGAGACAGACGCATATAGGAAACTATACATAGTCAGTCTCCCTTTGAAATTATTCATTTCATATTTATTTCCAGGTATGTGGTGCTCATTAAGCAAGAAAACGAGTACTCAGCGCTCTTTCAAAAGAAAACGCTTAAAAAAGCGCTCTTCAGGTAAGATTTATATAGGGTAGATATATATAGTTTAAGAAATTCTTACGAATAAATATATTTATTCGTAAGAATTTCTTAAACTATAATGTAATATTTATACATATATAAACATATCATTACGACTTTTATCCCAGATGGGGTAGTGAGAGGCATTGTCATCTGTAGGCGTGATGGTGAATGCAATACTAAATATAATTCTAGTTAACCACGACATCTATAGCACCTTCCACTGTCTGTGTGCACGTTATAAGAAGCATGTAAATCAAATAAAAAACAATTTATTCATTTAGGACGTTTTGGCCGCCTATTAACGTGTAGGACATAAGGAATACATATGATGTGTTGACGCGATTCTAACGTACAACCTTCAAGATCTGGACACGTCCGGACCACACTGGGTCATAATGCTCTTGAAATGTACTAATGAACATTGTGGTAAAAAGAACACTTGACATGCCCACATTTCGCTTAATATATTTTGAATCCATCGTGGCGACTCTCTCGGATTATATCGGTGTTCTTTCGACGTAGATTCAGTCAGAAATATAAATTACCATTTTATTTTGATGCTCTAAATGTATATATATCTATATTTATGTTACCTACCCATTTTTTATTCGGCCTTTTAATGCTTTATTATCCATTCCCGATATAGAACTCAAAGACCGTGACTTTAGATCTCGTCGTCCCTATAAGATTTGTATGATTTTATATATCTGTTGCTTATTAAATTGTGTTCACCATGACATCGACAGTTGACAATGCTAAATACTGCAGCTCAGCCTGCATGAATCCCGTAAAAGACTTTCCTTTTTAAACAGTATTCTTCGTAAAGATATGATTAATATAACCTACATCCAAAGAGATTTATGTGTACACCAAATTTTATTGGAATCCGTTTATGTGAATGAAAGCGTAACGATCATCTATTCTTAGAAATTTATGTGTTTATATATATGTAGATTGTTTGCCTGTATAATGGTATGTATGAACAGAATGTCAGTATTAATAAAGTAGTCCACATATTTCTCTATTAATTTGGCATGCAACATTTTAGTAATCTATAATAGAATGTATTAATATGAAGTATTAATTGTTTAGATTCGAGGCCGGAGTTGGTATATACTTTCATAGAACAAGCAGTACAGCCGGGCGCGCAGGTTGCCCTGAAATGCTCGGCCATGGGAGAACCACCCCCTAGATTTAGGTGGTCATTGGATGGATTTCCAATTCCCACGCATCATGGGTAAATAGTTGTCTTTGTTATAAACATTGAAATTATCCATATTAACCAATCGAGCAATCCCCGCTTGACAACATCATATTATTATAAGTTCTAGTCATTACTGTTTTATTTTCACTTTTTGTTAACGATTTGTTACAATGTTTAATATTCATCATTTTACTGTATTATTGTATGTGTGCTGATTTTTTAAAATAATATAATTATTTATATTTCTTTCTGTATATTATATATGTATTTGTAAACAAAAATGTCTTTAAGTATGTCCAAGAATTGTATAGTAATTTTAGCACAAGTCCAGGTTAGTTTCGTTTTGAATGTTGCTGTGATGCTGTGAGATGTTTAAGGGTTATTTAATTATTTTTAATTATACATTAACTACGACTAAGACGACCCGAGGTTCAATCGGGTTCAATTGTATTTTCAAAACGTCCAGGAATCCACTAAAATATTCATCCAAGAGTTAAGTGAGAGACACAAAGAAGAATTGTGTATGAATTGAGGCCTTATTTTTCTTGTAGAACTATCATCACTGAAGGCCGTGAGAATGGACCGACGGGTATAGGCTCGAGCAGTAACTACGTCTTATCAACACTATCATTGAGCGGCGCTCGTGTTGAGCATGGGGGTCGGTATGAGTGCAGAGCAACCAACTCCCATGGCAGTGTTGCTCATGCAGCGCGACTCAATGTTTATGGTACGTTTATATATTTTTTATATTAACAACGCGTCTCGGCTTCGCCCGCGTACTCATAACTTTATCTTTTTGTATATAAATTAACATAATAGTAATTAATGCCTAGAATAAGGTACCAAACAGTGAAATATTTTTCTAATCGATTCTCGTAATAATGTCTGCTCTCTCTCTCTTTCCTTTATAAAACAAAATGTATATTCATCTATACAAAATCTTGTAGTGGCTATGATAGAGTAGATTGCTATTCAGAATGTTCCAATATTGTATCCAATAATAATGCATTATTTCAAACGTCTATTGGTATTATTTGACATTTAGCTAAAAAGTTATGTAAAGGTACATTTATATTTTTTACTGACTGAACCCACTTTTTTACCTTAGATATATAAGAAATACATATAAATTATTTTTGTTGAGGTATTTACTGTCACTAGGCATTGCCAGAAAGCATTGAAAGAATATTTAATTTCGCAGGTTCCCCATATATTCGCGCCATGAATACCGTGAAAGCTGTCGCCGGGTCGGAAGTAACAATCTGGTGTCCTTACTATGGTTTTCCAATAAAGTAAATATTCTCGTAATAACACTCTACTTCTATTTATTTTCTTGTCGTTAGGTGTTATAATGAATACGCCTTCTAGGCTTATATATATATTATATATTTTATTTTCAGATTAACTAATTCAAATAACATTTAGTGTAATGTAACTTCTTTTTCATAAATTAAAGATAAGGTTTTTCCATTTAGTATAACTCGGTATATATGGGTATATTAAAGAATGATTTATTTATTAATTTTTTATTCTTATAAAAGTAATTCTTTTATATTTTATTACTAAATCTATAGTTTAATGACCATCTCGGTAGTCTAGTGGTTTAGCACACCACTTTACATCCGATGGTCGCGACTTCAATTCCTCGAGTATGATTGTATCGGTCTGGGTATTTTCTATATATGTTAAGTCTGTATTTACAAATAAAACTTTATATATGTATTCATATCAGTTGTTTATATGTATTCACATCATGTTCTTCATTAGCTTAAAAATGTAACTTCTCTAATAATGATATCCTTTTATTACAAAACACAGATCTGTAAAATGGGAAGGTGGTGTGGGAGCCGATCCTCGATATCAACAAATTGACGGACAGCTAACTATAGCTAATGTGGACCGCAATCGAGACAAGGGAAGTTGGACTTGTTCAGTGCTGACACCTGGTGGAGAGTTGGCAAAGAGAGAGGTAATAGACTTTTTTTTAGCAAATTAATAAATTATTTGAACATAATTAGCTATCTATTTAGCAATAAAATGTCGTTTGTACTTGTATTCCGGTTTGTATATAATGAAGTAAAATTATAACCGTCCTATTTTTATAATAGCTAATAATTTCATGTAGTGTTCCTGATTTTGATTTGATTCTATATGGAATACAAATGCGAGAGTTGCATGCAGTTAGCAAGGCCAATCTACACTAGACTATTATTAACAGCAACATAATGTGCGCGGAGTTTTTAAAGGTTTTCGGAATAATAATATGTCTAAAATAAATTATTTAAGAAACAGTAGTGTATATTATTAGTTCATTTAATGTTAGTAACAATATTATTATTATCTAATAAAATAGAAGCAATAATAAAAGAAAGTATATGTATGTATTTGAATGGAGAGCCTCCCCTTCCTTCAAACAAACAAACAGTAATTTAAATGTAGATGTAATGCAATACAGTATTGATACCTACAAAAACAATGATTAATACCTCTTATCAGGTGCAAGTAACAGTAGTGTCGCCTCCAGTACTCTCCCCGGTGGTGTTTCCTCCAGGACTGAGGTCTGGGGATCGTGCGCAATTAACTTGTAGTGTGACATCCGGGGACATGCCCGTTTATTTCTCTTGGCTTAAGGATCAAATGCCCATTTCTAGCATTTTACAGGTAAGAAAATATTGGTAAATTATTTTTGTTATAACTTGTGTATTATGATTTAATACACATAATATATCATTCTATATGTATCTCCAATAATAACATAAATATATATTTAGGTATTACTATATTTTCTCTTTTAGCTTTTCAAATTAAACGTGGGGTATTCTCTGGTCCTTATAAATAATATAAACACAAGGTTTTGATGTGTATTTATAGTATCTATAATATAGAAAATATAGATGTTATTACGAAATAATCTATATATAGAAAATTTCGTAACAACATCTTTATTTCTTAATACATAGAGATAAGTACTTAAAATAGAAATATAAATACTTGATCGACCGTTATGACCCAACAACGTATTGAAAAATGTTTTCTATGTAAAAATATTCATAAAAGTTCTTTTAAATAAAATATTATATATAAGTTTGAAAGTATAAAACTAGCTGCCAGTACGTCAGCAACAAATACTGTATAAGTGTTACGTAATATATATTGAGTTTGGTTAGGTCGTTTAAATATTAATTTATCTTTCTCATACTAATGGTTTACTTGACTGATAGGCTTCAGATACTTATATTTTATCGGTCACTTATTGGTTAAATAATAAATATTCCCGCAGGAGTCCTAAAATATACATATAACTGGCAGCCAATAAAGCCAACATGAATGAAAAAATAACAAAAAAGAATATGCACGCCGTCTTTTGTTATGATTAATAAAATATCATAAAACCAAACATGTTGTTCTCCGCTTTTCTATATTAAATAATTATTTATGCCAACACACGTTATAGAATATTTCTTGAAATATATTAATTAATACAGAGTTGCGTTTTATTATATTTCACAAGAGCCTGTCTCCATTTTCCTGCCATCCGAACGTCTTCATCTGCCTGGACCTAGTGTGCGCATTATTCTTTAGCAATAGCTACCTAATATATTGCAGGTCAAACCGTTATTTTATGGGTATTTGTTGCAGTGAGAAACATACAAGTTTGTGGAAGAACGCTATGTAGGTCTAGTTAAGTTTCCACTCCGCTTCATTAGAGATGTTGATTGAAATATCCATGTCTATAGACTTATATAATATCTCGTTATGTTATCATAGAAACTATATTACAAAACATTAGAGATTCGTATATAGTGAATGTACAATTACTCATTGCAATAATGTCGCAGGTAGAGGAGCGCGGCGCTGAGTTCTATAGCATGCTAATATTTAAGAGCTTGACTGCCGCTCACAGCGGAATCTACAGCTGCGTTGTCACCAACACTGCTGGTAAAGCTAACACATCTACCGAGTTAGCTATAAAAGGTATGACGAGAGTAACAATCGAGCACTGTACTGCTAATAAAATTACGTTAGTCACGTTTTATAATTTTAGATGGATAATTTCACAAATTCAAATTGAAAAATCATTTATTCATATAGGACTTTTTAGCCGTTTATTAACGTAATTTTTTTTATATTATAATTTTTACCCTACCGTCCAGTTCAGTATATATTTCCGATTCGATAACATTTAATTTTAAATCTGTCCTCTACGGACAAACTAAGTTTTGTTAGAAAATAATATCATGGAAACTAGAAAATAAAATAAAAACGACTTAAACATCACTTAAGATAAGCTTGCACTGTAACATACATATTCATCGAACATCAAAACTTCTATACTAATAGGTGTATTATAAATCAATTTCTTATTGATTGATTTTGTTTATAGTACCACCATATTGGCAAATCGAGCCCTCAGACGCTGCTGTTTTATTGAACGGTTCACTCACAGTGAGCTGTGAAGCGAGGGGACACCCGCCGCCTGCAATTTATTGGACAAAATTTTCCGGTGATTATTGTACCGTCATTTATTTAATATCATTGTGGATATTAAAATAGTTACTACATCTGTCACTATTAATTAAATTAAAATTAGAATTTCTAGTCATAGCATTCATTTCTTGATGTCATCATCAATACTTTATTGTTGTGAATGAAGAAATATCAATTGAGATTATTTTAAAAAGGTCGACTGAGAAAGTAGCTTATTATATCTAAAAGATTTATTCGATATCTATTCTTTTGTAATGTAATTCATCATCTTCTAATCCTTCCAATAAATCAGACACATTTTACTAGATAACTATTCTAAGTCAAATATTACCTAAGTATTATTCGCTTACAAAATTACTTGCCATAAATTTTGTTCACGAGCACTGTCTATAGAACTAGACGGCTTGACAATAACATTACTTTACATAAATATTACTAATTTCATAGGAAGCACGGAAACTACTCTGGGTGGTGTATCAGACCCAGTGGTACTAACTAATGGGTCGTTAAGATTGGAGACAGCCCGCGCGGAGCATTCCGGAAAATATCGCTGCCGTGCCGATAATGGCGTGCCACCTGCGCTCACTAGAACTTTAAATATACATGTAAATGGTATGTATAAATACAATTATGTCCAAACTAATATTTACCGAGCTAGACTTTGTACAGTCTGGATGGGTGCCACGGTCTCACCAATTTCAGCGGCGAAGCAACTTATTTAGTATAGTAATATTACAGGACATGTAGGCATTTTTTTTTACATAGAAATAGAAATGATGCTTGAAGCTCTCTTGAAGGTAAATAAGTACCGCCACCGGTATATCTAGTAATATCGTAGCACTGCGGAAGTACCATTACTGGAAGGTGATTCGACAATGTGGTTGTGCAAGGCAAAAAAATGGCATTACCCGGTGGAGTATCGCAATTCATTCCGATGGTCAGGATGTTATTATAATTTCTGGCGTGTAGTAAGATTGTGAAATTACAGCAGCTGGTAAAAATCCGAATTCATCGTCTTTTTAGAAAGAGTTGACAAACACGCATAAAGCAGAAGAATTTTACTTATGTATTTTGATAGTTAATGTCTGGTATTAGAATAATAAAGAGTTTTCATTTAATTATAGTATATTATAAAATCAAACTTTATGCGTAGGATTTATAAAAATATACTACAATGACATTTACAGTATATATTAGGTACCAAAGTTATAATTAATTTCAGTAATGTTTGATAACAGTGTTTTAATTACAATATTAACTTTCTGATAAGTCTATTGTACACTGAGAACTTTATGGCAATAGAAAATACAAAATAGACTGTAAAAATATTTTATATTCAATTTTATCCAATTAGTTGTGACAGGAATATAATTAAGTTTTAGAAACTTACTCGGTATCTACTATGCCTAAAACGGTTTCTGTTAACACGGATCATGGTAAGAGCTCTAAGCTCTGTCAGAATTTCAATTTACAATCATATACGTACAGAATAAAACTCTAAACTGGGTGTACAGAAATTGTAAGATTTTCAATCTCAGTCTGCAATACATTTTGTAAAGTCAGCACGTTAAAATGCCAAGATGTGACAGTAGAAATTCTAAATTTAAAAGTTGCTATTTCGTATAGTACTTGATATAACTTTTAAAATTAAATCTATGTATTACTATATAATTTTACATATATTTATGTTAACACATTGAACAAATAACTGCAATAGCTGTGCACGGGTACCGTCTTTGGAACGAGATAATACCTATAAAGTTCTCTATAGATACAAGGATTAAAAAATGTGTTAATTATTATTTTCTAATTTATTCTTAGATTTTATTGCCAGTTATTTTTATGTTATTACGTAACAGGACTTTTGGTATTTTAATGAAAATATGATAATTGTGTACTTTTTATTTTGGGTGGTAGTCACGATAATTATCACGTTATACTGGTATACTCGATTTAAAGACCCAGATGGTACATTACATCGAGTAATGTCAATAATATGTAAGTATAATAGTAAAAACCGTCAATAATGGTTAAATATAAACGAATCAAAAGACTTATGAAGATTTAGATTTAGATATTTATGAATCTTGATCTTTATTTTACAGCTCTATCTCACAGTTTAGAACTATCTTACTTTAATGCTGTACCCACGAATTTGTCTGTTTTATTATTTACTTGAATGGTATCCTATATCCGAGCTCATAATACAATATGTTTTCACGTTAAATTTTATTATGCCAGTCAGTTATAATAAGATAACATACAGACAGACATATATCGCATTTTTAATATTAAAATGGATAGCGATAAACCGAAGCAGTTTACTTACAACGCAATTTAATATAGCAAAATATTTTGAAGAAATATATCAAAAGCTTTTACTATAATTTATAACAATAAATTTATTTTTAAAAAATGATGTAACATAAATATTGCGAATAGAAGAGAAAATGTAACTTAAAATAAGTATAAATAAATAATTTTATGCTGATGTCCTGAAAGTTGCCAAGAATTCGAATCCATTTTGTAGAACCAGCACGGTTCGAGACGCCGTCAGCGAATGTGACGGCGAAACTGGGAGATACAATCAGGCTCGTTTGTGTTGCGAGAGGCGACAGCCCACTGTCCACCTCGTGGAGTCACTCTGGGAGGGCGTTACCCAAGTCTGACTACCGGTAAGTATAACTTACAAGAGAAATAATAATAGTAATGATAACACATCTATACTGTGACAAATTTATTAATAAGTTTAGACAGTCTCATCTATTCGAGCCGCCAAGCAGCTTGCTTTGTACGCTGTTTTTCGGTTTTAAGGACAAGCGCAGTGAAATTACAGTATAAGGGGCATGACATCTTAGCCCTCTGGAATTGCAATGCATGAATTATTAAGTGTTGTTCATGTATATAGGCTACAGTTAGCGTTTACCATCAGTTGGGTCGTCAGATTTTTGTCATTCTAATTTCATAAAACAAAAACTGTTGAAAATAATAAATTAATAGGTATGTAAATTCCTAGTACACTGAATTAAAAATAAACATACAAATGATAGGTATTTATATATTTATTTTATTGATAACCCGATTTCCAAGATTGTCAAATATTAAATATACGAATTTAATAACTGCGTTTACTTGTATTTTTATGTACGTTTGTACGACATGTCATTGGCTAAAATAAAGATAATATGATGAATATACGTTAGGTACCTAATGTATGAAAACTTAGTTGTGTTCACTTGTTACATAGGTGTATATCTATTAATAAATATTTCTTCATTAGGATGAGCATATCAGAAACACGAAGTGCTGAAGGCTTGAGAAGTGAATTAGCCATAGAACGGGCAGATAGAAGAGACTCTGGCGTATATCGATGTCAGGCGTCCAACCCATACGGCCGGTCAGATCATTTCGTACATCTGGCTGTCCAAGGTAAGACATTATTGAAATACGAAGTTTTTTTATCTAAAATATTTATATAAAATATTCTTTAGATAATAAAAATATTATTATTAATAGGACTTTTATGGTTTTCCGGATTTGTTACCAATATTTTTACCTACTACAAATTTACACTTATTATTATACTAAGTGTTTTCTATGGGTTTACCTGGGAACCGTTGGGTGATGGATGTTCCATTTATTTACCGTTCCCATTTCATTTTACTCTCTCTCTGTACTGAATAGTTTTGGATATATATATATATATAAGTATTATAAGTATACTGTAAAAAATTGTCTGCATACCTTAGTATTAATTATTGCAGCAGTGAAATAGTTAGCTTTGTAAGCTGAATTTCGATTGTAGGTCATAACGTCTTAATCCTCTTAATAGCAACGCATTAGTGGACGCGGTGTCATTTGATGACGTAATTTTCATAATGCTGTTCATGTATATAAACGACAATTACCTCCTACCAGCAAGTGGGTTGTTAGCTTATTTGCTTGTCCTTACACAATAAAAATTGGTATGATAAATGCTAATGCTGATGCTAAATCATTTTTACGTATTCAAAATAAATGTTAGAGCACAATAGTATTTATATCTTACAGAACCACCTGAGCCTCCCGCGAATTTTCGAGTACTGGAGACCACATCGAGATCTGTGCGTCTCCAGTGGCGTAGACCATACGATGGTAATTCACCTGTATTGGGCTATGTGGTTCAATACCGTCGGCATGACTCTACCTCGCCTGATTCTTGGAGAGATGCTGATACACAGAACGTATCTGTATCCACTCACACTGTAGATACTTATTCAGAGTAAGTTATTTTTTTAATAATAATATTTTTTTTATTAATAGTTTTATTTACAGTGTTGTAACCTAGTGGTTGACTAACCGGAGGTAAAACAAAAAATAGTGAAACCTAAACTGGCCGACAGAAAACTTCGCGATGATGAAAAACTATTTATAATTCTCGCACAATACATGCATTTGTATTGAATATATTTTTTTCTATTGATCTCTGCGTTTTTATTTATATATACATATTAACAAACAAAAAAAATGTATAGATAAATATTTGTATTAGTAGTTTAGTATCCAACAGCTCAAGCTACAAACTAAACTTATTTTGGGATCTTATCTCCATAAGAGTGAGTGATTTGTCCATTATTATTATTTTATTGAGAGTTACATTGATTAGATTACATAAGCTGTATTAAATATTTAGGGCTGAAGAAGCAACTATAACGGGGTTGGAACCTGCTACTGCCTACTTAGTACGAGCTAGGACTGTAACTGCGCAGTTCGCATCGACACATACCAGAGCGGTATTAGCATTGACACTACATGAACCCCCTGCCCGGGCGCCGATAAGTCTCCGTGCTTCCGCACCAAGGCCTACCACTATTGAATTAGCTTGGCAGGTGATTTAAAAAATGTTCTAAATATTTCTTTATTTTTAGTAGCTGTTGCATGCGACTTCACTCATTTTTTATAAAATATGATATGAGATGCTTTGTTCGTCCTCGTATTTCAATCTATCTCCACGTCAAATTCAGTTAATATTTGCAATTTCATACACATAAACTTTCAACCTCTATTTCAGTTCCAAATAATTTAGATAAAAATAAAAATACTCTGTGCCATTCTCGTGATGTAATCTATATTTATATTAAATTCTGGCTTTTGGTTGTGACAGAGTAACAAAGAGACAGACTCACTTTTGCATTTAGAAATTTATAATGTCTTATTTTACCAACTTATTTAGTTGTGAAAAGTTAAAAAAACAAATAGACTGACTGTACAGTTTTGTACATATAACATTAGTATAGATTGTCATGTTACAATTCCAAGACCGGTGTTTTGGAATTCGTTTTAAAAGCATAGCCATATATATCTGTACTTCCTAACAGGCACCTCCATCGTCGTCCTGGAATGGTGAACTGCTGGGTTACACAGTATGGTGGTGGCCGTCTGCGGATGGCTCGCTTGCGGGCGGCGCTAATGTGGGCATGGAATTTGCAACTGTTCGGGGACTAATCAACAAGTATACCATTGAAGGACTCGAACATTATACAAGGTATACTTCAGTTAAATTAAATTTCTTGATGATGTATCTACATTGCTTTAACTATAGGTACATATTTATTTCTTTATTTTCTTTCTTCAGAATAAGGTATATTCTATAACAAAAAAACATGTGTAAGTCCCAAAATCTTTTGAGACAAACATACAAAGCCTATCTATCTATATTATACAACCGTCTTTTGAAATGAATCAAATTATTAGAATAACATTTCTTTATATGATGTATACAATTGTAAAAGAGGGATAAAGTTTAAAACTGCAAAACTAGTTCTTCATACTTTAGAATAACTATAAACTTTTCAAGAGGTTGTAATTTCCATTTCACATTTTATATACCTTTTTATATCATTATTACTACGAACTACTAGGTACTACGTATTTTGCGTTATTTTGTCGCTTGCGTTATTCTGGTGATTAATGAGATTAAACTAGAAGTCAATAGAACACAAGACATTAAATCTATACAGGTAATTGTTATTAAACTCGTCTATCATCTCCTTCTTCTAGTCTTCATATGCGCTATACATAACAGCAGAAAAAGAAACATATAGATTCAAATACCTCCGGTAATCCTGTGATAAACAATATTTATGTTACTGTTATCCCATTGCTAGGTACTCAGTAAGCGTGAGAGCTTTCAATAGCGCCGGTGCAGGTCCTGCTACGGCCCCTGTCAATACGTTAACACAGGAAAGTGGTAAGTAACAAAACGGAAGTTGTTTTTACTTACAATCTTTCGTAATATGTATTAACTACATGAAGGAACATCTACATCATTTGTATAATACTGGCAGTTGGGAAATGTGTATATATGTAGTATGTAATATTCTCTTATTTGTAGTATGTGGTAATATGTTTTAGTTTTTGTTGTAAATGGTTTTATCACTATATAGATTACATACATACTCATACGCCTTAACTGAATGTGATATCACAAATTTAAACTTACTTTCTGTGGTGGATTTTATACAAAGGTATCCGTGTAGAAACTGTAAAATTACAAGGAACGAAGGTACATGGTACGTGACTCTTCAGATATCTTAATGCGTGATGTGTCGATCACCACATGTTCGTTTCTATAGACGAACTACTTTCCATTTGGTGGACCGTCAGCCTGTTTGTTATTCCAATTACAAAATCTGTTCTAAGAACACTTTAGACGTATAATAATAGAAATGTTTAATTCGGATTATTATCTATAATGTTAGTTATTATTTGTTAAATCTCATATTAGGAAAACATAAATATGACACAACAAATAGGCATAACTCTTCATATACAATAGCGACATTGACCCCGGAAACCCGACCGCTTCTGCGGCGCATATTTATTTTTCCATATGAAGAGCTATTCTGAAGCAGCAAAGAGTCTCAATGGTCTGATACCACGCTCAAAATGCTGTTACATAGAGTAAGCAACAAAGCAGGGTAGCACTGTGCTTGCAAATAATGCCATTAAAATCATCTACAATCGCTTCAGCAAACATAGTGTACTTAGTAATAGTAACCGGTGTCATTGCACCCGAGTGTAGTACCGTCGGAGGGACCGCGGGCGGTGCGGTGCCGGGCGGTGTCTCCGCAGAGTATCAAGGTGGAGTGGTCACCGCCGCCGGCGCACGCGCACCACGGCGCACTACTCGGATACAAGCTGCTGTATCGACCGGATCACAGTCAGTTCAGTATTATAAACATAACTTATATTTAATTATTTACTCTCCATATCTATCCTTCTTTGTGGAAGGATCTAGAGAGAATTTGGTAAAAACTATTCTAAATTCATATACCTACATACATACTCTCGCTACTTCCTTCTACAAAGAAGGACGAAATTACAAAGACCAAAAAAACAAACGCGTAATCTATCCTGTAAATAAGTACATACATTTTTTTATTATCAATTGTGAGGTTCCAATTAGTCTCTCTGGTTATTGAGTCCAATTATCCCTGAGATAGGCAACGTTAACGTGTTTTTATCTCAGGTTCATTCTATGATAGCTTAGTCTGATAGCTGTCATCACAGTGTGTTCAGGTATATAGGTTAAAACTTTCCATTATGAGAGCTAAATCTGTTTACCATTCTGTATAAAAATATACTTTAGAAAATCAATTCATTATTTTATATAATATACAATTTATATATTTAAATAATTATTAATATATCAGATGAGTTTGTTCGTTTATCTGCAAGCTCTTACAATATTTTTATTGATTAAAATTATATTATGTCCGCAACTCCAAGCTGAGTGATGGCAGTTGTTTGTCGGCAGCGACTGATTGGCTGGAGTGGGAAGTTCGTGGTGGCGGCGGCCCAAGTACAGGAGCGGGGGCGGAAGTCAAGCGTGTAGCGGGTGTTGAGACCTTACTGTTGGCACTTAGACCACACACTAACTATACAATGCAAGCTTTAGCTTATACTGCCGCAGGAGACGGCGTACCCGCTCATCCTATACATTGTACCACACAACAAGACGGTAAATTTTGTTAATTTCATTAATATTTATATTTTAATTACAACAATTTATTTCATTATACATATATTTTCAGTACCTGGTGCTCCAGCGGCAGTGAAAGTCGTAGCGACATCTGTCACATCTCTAGCAGTTAGTTGGTTACCTCCAAGTCGACCTAATGGACCAATTCTCTATTATACTATTTTCTATCGAGAACTTGGCAGGTTCGTAAGCATTCAATAAATTAACTACGAACTTAGTTGAATTTATGTTTATATTAGGTAGGTAATGTCAGTTATTTAGTACCCATAGTTTGGGCAAGCTCTCCTTAGTTTGGGCCTTAATGTTACTTTAGATGGACGTCTCTATAGAAAATATATTTTAGGGACAGACCACCGCAAACAACAACTGTTCAAGCAGAAGACGGAGACCCTTCAGTAGGTCTAGGAGGATCTACTGAATTACGTTCATTATCAGAAAGTGCCACTTATGAAGCTTGGGTGGCCGCACACTCTGCAGCTGGCGAAGGAGAACCGTCGGCACCACAGCCAGCCACAACCACGCAAAGAGGTATATATGCCGAGACTAATTCGCAGCATTGATCTATAGGAATATTATAAATATCAGGAGTTTCTGTGATTAAACGCGCTGATTTCTGGAACTACTGCTTTGAATTGAAAGGTTATAGCATCTAGATGCCCAATTATTGAGTTAGCCTATAGGCTATATAATATCCCGTTACGACCTACAGGAGTGGAGCTTCAATGAAAAATATTACGAAAACGGAGTTGAGTAGACGATATTTCGCGGGTCAGCTAGTTTAATAATATAATAATTAATAATAGTCAAGCATTTAAAAATACAAATGACATGAATCAGACATCAGAATTTATTGCACTTGATGAGTTCGAAATTAATTGTTTCGTTGATGGGAACCAAATTAATTCTCGATACGACAATACAATCGTTCTCCGTTACACTGAATTCAAATAATAGAATAATTATCAGAGAAATATATTAGAATTTGATTTTGTTTATTTTCATTTCTATTGGAGATCTATTTTTATATTATGAGCACATATAAGCATATAAGCCGATCAATTCTGTGATTTGGTCACGACATAAAAAATATGTACATGTAATAATTTCACGCTGATATAACTTTAAAAATCCTTTTTTACTTCTATTCTTTTGTATTATTTTATTATACTATATTTATTTCTCGATAAAAATATATGTTATTCGATTTCATAGCTGGAGCCCGACTACTCTCATTCGGCGTTTGGGCGAGAGTACAATGTGGACATTCATTACGGCTTGCATGTGTTTGGAGAGGAGAACCAGCACCGAGAGCTCGATGGTTGCGTGGTGATCGACCAGTCACTCATGATCCCCGAACTCACCTCACACCTCATGGACATCTAGCTATACACGGTAAGGTTTAGTTCCTACTACAGTAGTATATACACGTAGGTCAATTTGTTAGTTATCATCAATTATTTTTACCGTTTACGGACTTCTGCCACAAAAATTTGCCACAATGTATCTAAGATTAGTTACTGTATTTTATTACTTAAAATAGGATTTATTATTTTATAAACACAGGCATATTTTACTCTGCAATAAGTAGAAATTATATTATAATGCCACTAAATTCCATAGTTAACCTTTACCTACACTCCAACATGCAGACTTTGGTTAACAGTTATTTTTTTAAGTATACCTGTAGGAATTATTGATTGGTTGATGTATTTTAAAATAATAATGCCATAAATTGATGTTGACGGGACGTGTATTTGATGAAGAATGAAAATTAATATTTACATAGATTATAAATTACGAAGCGCCTAAAATATCTTCTTAGCAATAATTATAAATGTTGCATAGTATTGCTAATAGAGTGTTTCTGGCGTGAACATGCCCCCGGGCGGTGAAACTTTGTTTCACCCAAACTCTGAGGAAACAGGTAACGGACTGCTGAATGAGCGCCAAATAATGCCAATAGATCTGTGGTTTTCTGCAACACTTGCAATGCCGTCGGATACTAGGCGCAACGCTGATCCATCCATCTTAATCTTCATTTAATCAGTGGCATTTAATCGTCTTTTACCACGACCAATGTACAGCTTGAAATTATTCACTTGTATGATGTATGATCGCCATTTTACTTGTTACCGCAACTCAGCAGTACCACTTGCTACATCTTTACCAAACATTTTAATGATAAAGTTGTTCTAGCTATTGGTACCGTGACAGATTGGTACAACGGTCTTGATAATCTGACAGTGGTAAACAAGTAAGAGGTCTTCTAATAATCAAGTGACTTGGCGTGAATGGAGTGTAATCTGCAGATTCGGATGAGAGCGCAGTCAACGGTCGGGAGTGTACAAAGGCTTGATTTTGAGTTAAAATGGTGTTTAACTTAACGTACGTACAATGGCCCAACACTCTTTGCAAATAAAATATTAGTGGTTGAACGCTAGCTTCCCAAACACCACCCATATGAGGACTATAACCCGAAAACAATAAAATGTTATGCCATCATTAGCTGTACTTTCATTTACGAGTCACAGTTGCGCTTTGAGAAACTGAATATATCATTGAATTACCGAAAAAATGAGTTACCGTTATTTGAGTATATATTAAGAGGCTGTCCTCCAAACGATAACTAATGCAACGCATATAAAGAAAATGGCTCGTTAAGTCCCCTACTAATTTTAATTGGATAGCCTTTGTGCTAAATATACGAAAATGACAATGTACACCTTCACAAACCTACATCCTCGACCTTGACACGTGATAAGACCTGCATAATATACGTTTACTTTTTAAATGGAAACCTACCAGGAAGAACTCACTATAGTGGCAATAAACAGGATCACAATTTTCCCTGCCATTTAGTTACATTGAACACTTAGCAGATAGTAAGCTCTAGCCAAATCTGATAATCTAAAGACCAGTAGGTTCCCTAGTGAACGCGAGAAATAACTGGCGTCTAGCATGTATCAACTTACGATGCTCAAAATTAAATAATAATTTAGTAAAATAATGAGTGGACTGTAATGAACTGGATATATTTTATTGTGATGATGATTCCTCCTGACATTATATAAGCATTACCCTTACCTTACCTTACCATATACCCTTCTCAATTATTACGCAGGTAAAAATAAAACTATGGTTTGTTTTCTAAAATAATCAATCCATTGTAATACATAAGCTACGGTTTGGATAATCCGCGAATAATTGGAAGAACGTTAAAAATCTATAAAATATAATTACAAAGGAAGAACTAATAAATGAAGAATTACGTATGATTATTCTAATAATATCTTTTATAAACTCTGCGGTCAAAGGTTCATCGTATTATATTTTTGTAACAACAACCTAGAGTACAATTATCATACGTACAAAACTTAGTGGGTTAAATAATGTGCAATGCTTGACAGTAGAGCATGCTTAATAGTATATTTTGGTTGAATCTGACCTACTAGAAAAAAGAGTTTATCTAAATTTGTCGACCAACTGAGATCTAATAATTTGTTGGTTGAACTTTTACTTAAATCAAAAGAAGTATGTAATATAGACAGTAAGCTAACTGAAACTGTCAAATCGACCAATTGCCGGTCATTAAATGAAACTCCTGATAATCAGGGGCAATTTCCATTAAAGATCACTCCAAATTTTGTATTCGTACTTTGATCACATCGAATTCTGTAGTGCAGTGTGATATAAAACATATCATTTAAATCAGTTTCATGACATTCAGATATGTGACATAACTACTTACATGTATAATATAATATATATTAATTGTATTATTTAATATAAGTTTGGAATACAAATTAGGATTATATTTTAAACTACGCTGCAAAAAGAATAAACATAGATTAACTTTTAATGGAATACGAACGGAAACACGTCTGTTATTAAGAAGTGAAGTATTGTGGACAAAATAATTTTCACATAACTTCTTGTTGTTCTTTCGTGAATGAACGGGTGATAACTGAGTATTAATTTCCTTTAATTGCAAAAATCTCTTTAACTTTATTCCACTATCTTGGAAGTGGTCAGGTGTACATACATTTAAAACTCTATTCGAATTACACCTAATATTATTAGATAATAAGGAGATATGACTAACAGGAACTGACCCAGAGATGATATATCCTAACTTTGTTTCACAGAGTATAGGTTTATTGTCACCTAACTTTATTCTGTGTGATCCTAACAAATCCCAAAAGAGATCAGCACCTAACAATAAATCAATAGCAGCAGGTTTATAAAACGTAGGATCAGCTAAACAGATATTAGAAGGAATTTTAAATTTACTAATATCAATCTCATGGTTGGGCATATTATTAGTAATTGATGGTAAAACAAAGCAATTAAAGTCGAAATCATATTTGTCATTTAAAGATCTCATGCTAACACGACAAGTTTTACCTACGTGTGAAATCACGTTGTTAATTCCTAATATAGATTTATCAACTTGGTGAGAATTTAAGTTTAATTGTGCACATAAACTTTCAGTCATTATACAAGATGTGCTCCCACTATCTAAAACTGCTCGTACGACATGTTCCTTATTATTATTATCATATAATTTAACTAATGCCGTTGACAACAGCACATCGAATTCTTTCGATGAAATCACATTTGCAGACAAAGTGTGTCCTGCATTTAATGATGTTGATGTAGATGATAATTAACTGTATCAGGTTGAATGGCATTAACGGTTTGGTTGTTATTATAAATAGATCGAAAATCAGTCACATGTATAAGACTATTATGACGGCGTTTACATATTTTACAACCAGGCTTTCTGCATTGATTTGCGAAATGACCTGATTTGAGACAATTGAAACAGATCTTAAAGGAAGACAATAGTCTAAGTCTGTCTTCATTACTTAGTGCAAGAAATTGAGAACAAGTAGCTAATGTATGATCTCCTTCACATTTTGGGCATACATTACTAGAGTCAAAATCAGACTTAGTACTATGTGGGATTGAGACCAGAGTCTTAAACTTAGGAATAGATTTTAAGGGTGTATTGTGGGAAAGTTCTAAAGTTTCTAATAAGTCTGCCCGATTACGTAAGAACCTTAAGAAATCATTAAAATTATTAGAGTTCCCCTCATCTAAGCGACCTTTATACTCTTCCCACTCCCTATAAGTCTTTTGATCTAATTTCTTAGTTACAATATATATTAATAATGTGTCCCAATATGTAACAGGTTCACCTAGAGCCTCTAATGAACGTAAGTTCTTTTTTATTTGATCAATTAAACGCTTTAATGTTACAGATGACTCTTTTGTTATATTTTCTATATTGAATAATGCAGTGACATGATTTTGTATTAGCAACCTTTTATTGTCAAACCTTTCACATAACGTTTTCCATGCTATAGAATAATTAGTAGCAGAAAACTCAATGGATTGTATTACCACGGCAGCTGACGACTCTAAAGAGGCCCGTAAATAATGATATTTATTGATATCATCAATGTCGTCATTCGAATGAATAAGGCTAGTGAAGGAATCGCGGAATTCAAGCCAATTATCATACGAGCCGCTAAATTTGGGAAGATGTATAGCAGGGAGCTTAACGAGCTGTTGACGATTACTAACCATGCTTTTATCACCCAAAGACTGTACTTCATTAGACGAACACAGCAATTCTTGTCCATTCGCTAATGCTTTGTAATAATGGGAATTAAATTCCTCGCGAGCGACAAACTGCGCATCAACGTCTTCAGCGATACACTCAAGATGTAACTGTACCTCGTCAAAACGGTCATACAATGACTCAAGTCTACCCAAACGCAACTGCAACTCCTTAGCATCCGCAGACGACAAAGGCTTTTTTAAACCGTTATAATAATTGACAAAACAAGTAACTTGACCCTTAAAACTACCTCTTTTTCTATTTAATTCTTTAATTTGTTCGACATGGGCCATTTTGAGAAGCAAACGTTGTCACTTAGAATTTATATAATGCCAAACCTAATATCTATAAACAAAAACTTACAATATTCCTTACTAATTATTTCTGGACATATCACAAACCAGAAACAGTTGTTACTATAAATGCGTAAGAAAATCAGTACCTAAATTCTTTATAACCATACAAAATGGTAGGTAGGTACAACGTACAAATTTATAGATAGTAAATACAACGTTAAAACATTGCTTATTAATCCTTGAATTAAATATTAATAATATATGTCCTATATTTTATACGTATATAATTGGATATTTGTAGTATATACATACGCATTTATTTATAATAGGAATAGAATTAAGTAGGAAAATATTTTAATTTACAGCGTATGACTATATAAAATTATTATTATTATGTTACAAGATGTACAAGTACAATTATAATTTGCTATTTATCAATAAAGAAATAAGTATTGTTTAACAAAATATTGTATCATTAAACTATCAACCTATACCGTCTATTATGTAACACAAATTACGATATTTATTTACATATATAACACATACGGTAACACTGTGATTCTTATTTATTTGTCTAGATAATAGCACTTCCCAATAGAATATTATACGAAAATAAGTAATAAAATTGTTAATTATTTAAAGTTCTATTGAAATAACGTGAATAACTAAATAAATGTTCACAATTAATAAGTCAAGTTAATAATATAATGCAGCTATCCGCTAACGATACCACACCATAGGTAGGTACAATACTAACTTGAATGAACAAATTATTCACAATGCAATGTATAGGCTATATTATGCGTAATAAATTACAAAAAATATAAATCACTAACCTTATAATTGCTTTATTATTAATGTAACAATATTACCTTTAAGAGTGCTGGGTTTATTTTAATGAATTAATCTAGACATGACACACCATTTTTCTTTTCCGCCAAAACTCCGGCCGGTCTTCACATCAATGTCGTAATTACGCAATAATTCCAATGAATTAATATTATCACATTGAAAATCCTTGATTTCTGTACATCCGGCTCGTATCCAGGACCAAATGTAGGAATTATTGATTTGTTGATGTATTTTAAAATAATAATGCCATAAATTAATGTTGACGGGACGTGTATTTGATGAAGAATTAAAATTTTATATTACATAGATTATAAATTACGAAGCGCCTAAAATATCTTCTTAGCAATAATTATAAATGTTGCATAGTGTTGCTAATAGAGTGTTTTTGGCGTGAACAATACCTAAATGCTATCGATTATCTGAGATCAACAAGGATACTCCCAAACAATTTGTTTCACATTATAATACAGTAAGGATTATTTAACATAATGAAATTATTAAAAACCAGAGGTGGACGCATCGACGAGTGGTAACTATACGTGCACCGCTCGCAATGCATTCGGTTCTGAGGAAGTAACGTACCGCGTAGAGTGTGCTACACCTCCGTCCGCTCCCACTCTCGCCTTGGACCACGCAACACATAAAGAAGCGCGACTGACATGGCGTACTACGCATCATCCCGCTGCGCCGCCTCATGGTAAGTTTTCCTCCCTCTTCTTCTTTCTTGATTCATATTAATCCATAATAATATTATGAATGCGAAATTGTGTTTGGTATCTAACGCAAACAAAATGTTTGATAACTTTTTAAAATTATCATATTAGTATAGATTTATGTGTATTGCGTAGTTTCTATTTATGTCATTGGTATCTATGAAGGGACCTAGGTAATTTCTTTCATACAAAAATATCATTAAAACCCACACTATAGGAAACCTTATCGATTTCGATCAATGAAAATATATCCTACAAAAATGACTAGTCTCTCATTTAAAACTTTTAAAATTATATTTATTTATACATACATAGAAATTAACATTCGTAAAATTGGGATAAACACAAAACATGATATTCCACAAGGTTTCACAATTTGGTGGGTTCGCGTCCGTGATGATTCCGGTGAAGGCATCGAGCCAGCAAGTACTCGAGGAGAAGAAGAACGGAGATTGGAAGCTGGTGGAGAAGTAGTGAGCGTAATGCTCAGAGCACTGTCCTGTGGCGTGACATACTCTGTAAGAGCTATAGCGCACTCTTTAGCTGGATCTTCTCCACCTTCTCTGCCGTTACTAGTCAAGACGAAACCTCCTGGTGCGTATATATCTACTATTCTGTTGTCTCCAGTACATTTTTAGTTCAGCAGATCTACTCTGGAGTCTATTACTATTGATCTCAATACATTTCATTTCTGTGTTGTTCTTTTGAAACGTAATCTAGAGTAAACCAAATAGATCGATAAAAATGCCAGTTTTTCATAAATCACGAAATATGATCATAGTGCCCATTGCAATTATATAGAAGTATTTTTTCAATGTAAACTGGCTGTACTTTTTTCTGCTTTTGTGTTTAGTTTCCATATACCTACAGTGTTTAGTTTATGTATATTCTGTATTTATTCACTGGAACTGTACGTATAATAAAATTGTATAATCGTGAGCCGCATGGTCTTGATTTTCTCAAATAATATCAATGTCGTAACAGTGCTGGTATGGGAAGGTGGGGGGGAAGTTGACGAGAATGAGGAAGGTGCTGAAGCGGCCGTGTGGAGTAACAGCAGCGCTCTGGCTGTTGATGCTCGTCGAGCGATTCGGTGCGGAGCACGACTCGTCAGATTGCAGTGGAAACGGGTGGATGCTGGCGGCTCCGGGGCCTGGAGAGATGCTGATCTCACATCTCTACATCATCATCGAGAGGTATGTAAAAAAACAGTCCTTAATAATACATTCATTTTATTGTTAGGGAATAGTTACAGTGAAATAAAACAATATTACGACAACTTTTTGTTAAGGATTTACAAATAAGCGACCATTTGAAAGATTTTTTTAGGTCGGTTACATGTAGGTCGGTATGTAGTGTCTGCAAAAATTAAAGTATATTTTGATTGACCAATTATAAAGCTATGCTATGCTATAGCTTACGCAAACAAAAGCCAAATTGTAGTCATCTAAAAAGATTGATTATTCTACAAGTACCTATTGCTAAATATCGTTAATATATTTTTATATAATTAACCTACACGTAATGAATCTACCGTCGCATTTAGCATATACATCTGTTGTACATTAGAAATTAATTTATCCAAAATGCCAATCCCAATGAACAAGAATACCTCCCACATTCCAATCCGACGAAAACAAGGCGTAAATTGAAACCTTTATTAGAATTCCATTCGAATTCGGGTCCACGGGGACGAATAAAATAACTTTTTTGTACAAATAATCAACAAGTTTGTTGGGCACCTGTAAACTTTTTGTACAGGAAATTTGTCACGGGTGGTGTTGAAAACCGGATCGTGGGAGAGAAAACTTTTAACTCCAACATACTGTAGGAAACTGTCACTATAGAATGATGAATTTAATAAGACATTTGTTGTAACGTTAAATATAAGGTAATATGTAAATGTACTTTAATATTACCTTATTTTTAACGTTACAACAAAATTAAACTGCCGCTGCATTTTTTATCTACCTACTGCATAGACATTCAGTTGATGAGTTTCATACCATGTACCTGAATTATCAAAAAAGTAATGTATTGCAAAGACGAAATTGTGTCTGTTTATATTTCTGTCGGTTTGTTACTTTTCAAACCTAAACAACTGAATGAAACTATATCACAAACACGGATATAGGTTTCTTATAATTATATACATTTATATATTAATATTAAAAGAATAAACATAAATTGAAAATTTATTATAAAAAAGGTATTTAGATAAAAATTAAAAAAAAAATAACTTTTAAGTTTTTTATACAGAATAAAAAGCGGTCATATAATAAAGGCTATAATTTACACAAAATAATAATGAAGGATATTCATACGTACATATGACACTCCGAATAAATTGAGGGTAATATATATATAATAATAAGTATAAAAAACGTATTTAATAAAATTCCAACTCGATCCGAGGTAAAAGTTAAGTGTGTCTGGTGGCGACACGTGTAAGATTAGACGAGTAATGATAATAGATATAGCAAGGGAAGTATGTAAAGTCTTTATAGCACTTTCCTCTCTACTAAAAGTACTTGCAGATGTAGTCTGGAGTCTAATCCTAACATAGATTTCAATTCTATCCAGTTTTGTACTATTTTTTTAAATAGGAATATATATCATCTTTATTCAAATGAACACAATACAAGCACTTTTGAATGGACGTTTTTTTATATATAAATAATTACACAATAACAAGTAACAGGCCCTTTATCAACATAGAAACCGCTGTGCACTCATTCTTAATGCAATGAAATAAAATTATCAGCGCTATGAATTTTAAGTTTTTCTACAAAAACATTTTTATCGTTAATGTACTTTTTAATAATCTTTAAAACTAAACTAAACTAAATTAAATAACTCGACAATAATGTTAGTTAATTATTTAATTAAAAACTAAATATAGAAGTATAAAAAGGACCGAAACGGTGCAATAGAATGTCATTACATCAGAATTTGCATCGAAAATAGATCTGCTGGTATGAAGACAAGTGATAAATCAAATTCTGGTGTCATAGGTGGTGATTGGAAGTTTAACTGCCGGAGCTTGGTACGGCCTCCGTCTGTGGACTGCCACGGAATCAGCACGTCATCAAGCTGTTCTATATGCGGCAACCACAACGCACTCGGGAGGTATTTAAATCATTATATAGAGTTGTCTGTAAATATTTTTAACTACCAGTCCATCCCTATTTCCTCTAAGTAGAATAATATATTTATTATTGTCATTTATTTTGCATTTCGTCTTACTATTTCCTTAATATACAAATGGCGGATTCAAAGCAGTGCACCAGTCTATCTTCCAGAAGTGCAGCGATACGTAATGTATCTACATAGTAGTGATCTGACTACTATTAATATTTATTTATTAATTTATCTTACACTTAGAAATAACAATTGTTTAGTTATCAGAAATAATATTTGTATTTGAAAAAAGTAAGTGTTTAGCCAGTTCTGCCCAGTTATACATTTCAGATGTTACAAACCATTTTGCATAATGTTATTCGTTGTTTATATCCGTATCTCGGATTCAGTGGACATATTATAATTTTCGATTATACGTTGTTAATGAAATTTCGAAATGCTGTCTATTTTTTGAGATCATCTAGTAATTTCAGCCGGTACACTAAATCGGTAAATTTGACTGGTATTCAAACAGAACGTCTCCGAAGACCGGTAGCTTTTCATTCCGGGGAGAGTGGGCCGGTGATCACAACTGGGAGTAATGTGGAAGCCGACCATGTGCTAGGCGCGGTGTCGGTGGCTTTTGCCGCCCTCGCTGCCATCGCTGTCACCGCATTGATACTTGTGTTACTGGCTAAACGGAGGTAAATATATTTTTTTTTATCTAGTTGGAATGGCGAAAAAGGAAATGATTCGCTTAATGAAAAGTGGGAACGATCACCTACAAACATGTGAATTCTTTAAAACCAGTACTGCCTTGCTAGTCTTATACTTTCATTTCCATTGAAAATTGCTTACAAAGCAACCGGCTTTACAACTATTTTTGGAACTCAGGCTGAATTTGTTTATATAAGCAAAACATTACAATACATTAGTGTAATTTATGTATACAATATGTATGAATACAACTATCACGCAGCGTGTAATCATAACACTCAAAATTTCATTAAGTTAACCACTGTGATACTAATCATGTACTACCATTATGGACCTAAAGCTTACCATACTTATTACGTTTAATATTTACTAAATATCATCACAAAATACATTTGAGAGTTAAAATATTCCATTAATGAATTAGATCCTAGTGAATGTCCACTAGGATCTAATTCATTAATGGAATATTTTTACTTTTTACTTTCATTCTTTTAATTGATAGTGACCTTTCGATTCTTTATACCCTAGCATGCTGTTCCCGTGTACTCAGCAAGATGAAGAGACCCGACGCTGCAGTCATTCCGTCGCCAGCACTGACAAGTCAGTTTGCCCCGAACAGCAGAACATAAGGAACTGCCAACACGATTACAAACATGACAAACTATCGCCGGCATCAGGTAAGTAACATTTTTATACAGAATGACGAAGTATTCAATTTAATGAAATATTCTGTATTTTACACGATATCATTCCTAATTTTAGAATATGATATTTATTTTAATCGTATGATCTCACTGTCATTTTAGTATCAGACTAATTTGTAAAGATTGTATTTGACGATGCAACGTTATTTATTGCAACATACGAATAATTTTTATTTAATCTATTGCTTATTTATTTGTATATTTTATGTCAATTCTTTCTGTGTTTTGTAATCTTGTATATATTTATAACATCAACATAATTATTTAAATACTATTTTTTTTTTCTTTCTATATTAATGTCCCAGATTCTATCTGTTCATATACATGTTTTAAAATGTGTATGTTTTAGTAGTTATTCGCAAACCTATATAATATGTTAAATATTATATAGATCTTAAAATTCAGACCAAGCTGAAGCCCAGTGATAGTATTCATGAAACTGAATATCTCTATATATAACTCTTTAAATAGTTTTTTAATCTGCACGGTCACATGACTGATTTAGTATGTACAGTTAAAAAAATATTATTATATTTCCACTCCGTTTCTTGGCGAACGTTCAATTTCATGATTAGCCTTTTAGACTTTCGCTTTGGCATCCCTTTTACGACTCTGGCTCTATACAAAGTCGTGTCCACATCATTGTAAGACTACACACAGACCACCAAACTATAACATTGCTCTATCAGACGTATACGAGATAAGTCCGTACGCAACGTTCGCGGTGGGCGGGGAGACCGCCGCCACTCTCGACCACACCTTGCAGTTCCGTACCTTCGGGCATCGCGACAACGATGCACCACCGCACCGCCCTTGTAGGAAACATCCTCAGCGACACCGTGATAGAGACGGTAAGAGTAGTAAGAGACGGTATACAGAACCTTAGAACTATTTAAGAAATAGCACATGTGAAATCGTTAATACTGAATCGTAAACGTGACCATATGCTAATCACTTATTTAAGAAAAATAACCTAGTGACTGGATATTATATATTAGTATTCTGGAGCTTACTAATTATTTCAAAGTAAAAGATGAGGTACCATACACTGCCCGTCTAGTAAATTGCTGCTTCAGAATTTATTCTCATTTGTTCTTATCTATTATTCCCATAATAATTATAAATTTATCGTTACAGAAATCGTTATGTTCATGCATATAGAACTCACAAAGTATGAACCTTTGCCCGTATGCTCCTACTTTTTTAACTGAAACCACTGCTGTAATATGTATAAAAATCTATTCATTTTACGGTAACAGTGGAAAAGCACCATTCCGACTGTGAACTGCAGCAGCTCAGCCGGTACGAGAAGGTGCGCCCACGACACTGCGCGGGAACATCCTACTGCGTACCTCTATCACATCATGGTATCGTATTAAATTACACGATTATTTTACTTACGTCATTGTATATCATTGTAAAGTTTGTTAAAATAGTCTCCCTATCTAACTTGTATTATAAGCTGTCTGGTAAGTTGTATGAAATAGGTTGAAATATGTCAGTGAAATTACTGGGTTCGGAGTGATAATACTTTGTCCTTACAAATGGTAATAGACGAGCGTATCTCAGATGTTACGTGATGACGTGTTGTGATACTGTCTTTGAATATAGGCAACTGTTGCCTCATTCTAGTAGTAGAGCCTGATTGCAATTCCAATAACATAAATAACTGATATTTATATAATAATTTATGTCGCTTCTACACTGTATACACATGAAAATATTTAGTTATTAGTAAATTGCTTAATTTCTCGTAGTCCGAAACTCAAATTGAATAACGCAATTATTTGCTTTATATGAATAAAGTTTCAGCTTATATATCTTGCTTGGCAGTATTAAAGCCTTATTGTATTAAACCTTAAAAATTTCAGGATATATCTACTTTTTATACAGTACAGTACCCTAAACTACATAACAGGTGGTGGTGGTGGTAGCGGGGGCGGTTTCTCCGAGGTGTACGCGGGGGACTCTAGCGTAGAGTCAGGCCCCGGTTCACTCTCGCCTCGGACTCACCACGAGCATAGCTAGCGGCCCATTCAAATGCGAAATCCAACCATATCCAATAAATAACAAGTCTCATTATTTAATCACATCCAATTAGTAAAATACTAACTGGAGAGATCGATAAGAGTATAAAGAACGTTCCAGTCCAAATGTCTTCGAGTAATATTTTGTTTTATATTTTTTTTTATAATCGTAGTTTTAAGTATGTAAGTTATTGTTAAGCTTGATTTAACTGTTAAACTACAAATTTATGTTAATATTTACAACTTGTAATATCTAATATTACAGATTTTATTTTACGGTTACCTACTATTTTCTCAGTAACTTTTGATAAGTTGTAGAAAACAATTATAATACTATATCACTACTGCCTATATTATACTATTTGGTCTCCAATTATTTGGTGATAATTTTCAATAAATATTTTTTATTCGAAAGACATGGAGGTTACAATTATAAACACAAAGATGTGTCTATATACTATAGACACCCGGTTTTCTCTACCTTACTTAAAATGCATAGAGTACTCGTAGATAGGTACTGAATAAAATTATTCAATAAATGAAACGATATTATTAGTTTTATATAAGTACATCTGTTAACAGATTAATTAAATGTATATCGATTCATATTTGTTTTTATATCAAATATATAGTATAGGAAATCTTAAATTAACTTTTTATTTCAAATAGTTATTAAACATAAATGTGACGTAACATGATTGATGATGTCATCTAATAAAAAGTGTTTCTTTTTCTAGTAATACAGGATACAGTCAATAGCGGCGCGCAATTATTTAATAAAATTTCTTAGAATAAGCTGCGTTCCATTTACCTTCTCTATAATGATACAAGAAAAATACGCCCCAATGTAAAAATAGTTAATTAATTAAAATATAAGTACGTAGATAGCCAAGTTTGTGTCAAAATTTATTTTAATCATTTAGTAATGAGACATTACATTAGTGTGGACTGAATACTGCGAACGATAAAAGTGAAGCTGTTTTTGTATGTGTGATGTGCTAATTCATAAACGTTGTTGCCATTAATAATTTGTTAAAGAAAAACATCGAATATTTTCTATTAAATAGATTTTATAATTCTATTTCATTTATTATCGCAAATACTCCATTAAGAAAATAGAATTTTGTGTTTTACGTAAACTTTTTTACGTGCTCAATGCATTATACATTCAAATTAATTCGTGTTTCTTGCAGTAATTCTAAAATATTTTCCGAGCAACATATTCGTAGTATATAAATCACTTTTTATTGTTTATTTTGCTCTGGATGTTCTCTGTGTATATTATATTATATGCATATGCATTTATGTATTGGTATCTATTGTTGGTACTCTGTTATGATTCTTATTATTTGGCTTGATGAATTACATGTCAATTTTTTGCGGCTTCACTTTTGTTGATCGAATCTATCTAGCTCCATCTAGATTATCTTTATTGATCTATAACGTGTAAATAAATAATCTAGTCAGACTGATATGTAATATCTAGTTTAATTCGGAGCTTACATTTGTACATAGATTTTGTAGATACCAGCAAATCTAGTCAATTTTTATTCAATGTTTTATGACAATATGATTGTAACTTGTAAATAGTACGAATTATGAATATCTATGTAAGAAATTGGTTAATATGAAATAAATATATTTAACGCAAACTGGTAGTTTTATTAAAGTAAATTAAGAGTCTATAGTTGAAGAAGGTATAATAGGCCGCCAATGAATAAAGAATGAGAGAAGTTGGACGGTAGCGCGTCCGTGACGAATAATATCATATATCGATTAATACGAGTAAGATATACTCGTAGTTAATTTACGTAGTAGGTAATTGATCAGATATTTCCTTCACATTACTTCACAATGTTTCAATTAACAAAAACTAATATAATTTTTTTAATCTCCTTTTGACCACAGTAAGCTAAATAGTAGAATTAAGCCAACAACTAGGTCACGCTATGATTAATAAATCAGGTAGGTACAAATATATAAGAGAGCGGATTCTGCTAAAACACCAGTACAGATGTGATTTTTTTACTTATTGGAAGGTACGTACTGTGTACCTTCAGAACAACATGGGATGTATTAATACATACCTATTACTACACATTTTTATTATTACATCTTATCTAAACATCATATGTTACATTTTTTAGGCTAAAAGGCCTAAAAAATGTAATTTTGCCTTTTATTTTAGGTTCTTAGTTGTACAATTAATTATGTAAATAAAGAAAATTTTTCATTACTACATTTTACATATTATATTTGTTTACATAAAAATAAAGACACAACAATTGCATGAACATAACAATATAAATTTATTGCGGAATGGAATCTTTTCGAGATTATTTTAGGGTACATATTAAGGATAAATCAAAAGATGATTGGTAATTGGAGTAGACAGATGACAAGAATGTATTACCCGTTAAGCATCTCTAATAAATATAGTAACTGCCGTCAATTGTCAAGAATTATGTATATTATAATTTATTTATAATTTGTATTCAAACGCCGGGCGTTGTTTCCTGAATTACATTACATTACGGTAACAGACTAGCAAAAACATTAAGAGGTCTTGATGGCGGTTGAATAGTCAATTACTAAATTACTGAGGCGGTCTTTTAACGGCATTTTTAATTTTCTAGTTATTATTAAGACTTTGATTATATAGTTTATAAGATTAATTTTTTCGCTAATTCATGTACAAATTAATCATAAAAATCGAATGTGGATTTTTTGTAATGATAGGTAACTGTTATATTTTATTTCTCTACTAAATAGATAATCCTCTATAATCGTATTAAATTTCTAATTCGTAAATATTTGAAAACTGAATTGTGTAAAATTACCTATTTATAAAAAAGGGTCAATGTCAAATTAAATTGTCCCTTTCAGTTATTTGATGCTGTCCTAAAAAGCCAATGAATAAAATAACATGTATTTCATTTGATCATACGAACAAAATGTTTCCTTTATGACTTGAATTTTTAATGTTACAAGCATGCAACAGTTCAATAAATCTTTTAACGAAAAATGCATCACATTGTCGCCGACAATCCCGGACGAATTCCAATATGGAACAGTTATTTTAGGAATGCGATCCCGGCAAATTCTCTAAACTTGGACACAGCAATATAGCTAAGCTACAAAGTTTGGGTGCCATTTTAAGAATTTAGGGCAAGAATTTTAGTCTACTGAATAATTACTTAAGGATTTTAATTTATTCCGCAAAAATACTCTCTTCAGTTGAAATACGACAAATATAGTATTGATGAGATGACTGAAAACGGTACTGCTTTAACTAGTTATCTACTTCGCCTTTGCATACAATGGCGAAGTGGTGGTCATATATCTACTTATACGTCTTACACCTTTATTACCTGAAATTATATAATTGTATTGTATTTACGATCTAAATCGAGTTCCATCCTTGTAGAAGTAGAATAAATGTTAAAATAAACGAACGAAAACAGTGACTATGCTATTTATTGATTATGCATTTTTAGCTTGTCTAGTAAAGAAAATATTAACGAAACTGGACCACTCTGTAAAAGTTATTCATAGTTTTCCGTCAACCAAATAATCACTTATTTGTTTGCAGAATACAGTGTTACAAGTAGGTTTTACAATATCGAATATTCAAATTGGCTATCGCTCTGATGTATTTTTTTTGAGCTACGAAATATTTAAGGCCGTTACAATAAGGCCGCCTTATTGTAACGATACATGTGTCCTTTGTTGTATTATTTGTGCTTCTTTTTTACTGTATATTGCAAATAAAGTATATTCTATCTATGTATCTATTTAATTTTACGGTTAAGCTTGATAGATACAGAACTGAACGTAGGTTGTTGTAGTCAAATAACATTTAAGTCTATCTAGTCTACCAACCACTCATACACTAATTTTATATCTATATTAGTAGTATAATCGAACATAAATGTATTTTAAATACTTAGTATTATAATTGATAAGTCATCGGAGAATAATATTTATTTACAAGTTAAAATATGTAGCAAGTCGTTGATATACAGAAGAAATGTATGGCTCAGTGTCTATCTATCTGTTTATTACTTTTTCACGGTTGATCAAACCTTATTGAAATATCAGATTAAGAAAGAATGATGTTTCTTTGTGATATTTCACTAAGATTTGGTATAACTCGAGAAGAACGACATGATATTGTCTTCCTTTGATTTTAGAAATAGCAGACAATATCACGAGTAAAGCTAGTATTGATGAGTTTGTCTTTCGAACTACATGTTCCCAAAGTAAGATACTTTGCAGCCAGAGTATGAGATTGCGAAATTGAGCAAAATGTCCATCTATCTATAAGTATGTATACGCACCATAACAAAAAAATGCTACACGTCACGTCGTTCTCAGCGAATTAATATTTTTACTGTTTTTATTATAATTATTCTGCCCTCAGACGGCGACGTTAATGTTTTTTTTATTTGACTTTTCCGATGAAATATTTCATAATCCGTTCAGCCAGTGGTCAGCGAAAGGGGAGATTGGGGGGTTACCTCCTTTCTATCGCCTACCGAGTCCATTTAACTAACGCCTCCCATCACTGGGTGGTCCCCATCGACGGGTGGAATCGTGCACGTTTGTTCTGAAAAAATGCGCTCCAACAAAAATACGAATTGAGCGTTGTATGCGAATCGAAAATTAATTACGGCTTTGAGCATTTTTTAATATTACGCTTTATTGTGAAATCGGCATTTTTTAAATATTTGCTCAATATAGTAGATACGAGTAAAATAAACACTTTGTACCGATTTAAATATCCTTTGTGGCTCAACAAGCATTAATTTAATATGGGTAGCCTGCGGCCTTAATTTATTGGGAATTAATTAGATGCTATTTATACAATTATTTAATACTAAAATATAAGAATGTGAAAGTAGTTGAAATGTTTAAATTGCATTTGTTGCTCAATCAGGTTAAAAAGACAGCATAGTTATCCAAACTATCTAATTTAATTATTACATATTAATATTAATAATTTACTATATACATCCTATCCAATACAAGATATCATTCTCGAATCCATGCGAGATACTAATAGTTATAAATAATTTTAAAAAGTAGATTGTTCACATACAGTAACTTTGTTTATATATTTTTTTGCGTCTACCCGGGTTTTTCTTCTTTATAGCCAACTTTAGAAAAAGGAGGTCATTGTGTTTGTCTGAAACAGTGGACATTGTGGATGTGGTCACTGTCAACTATAAATATGAATAAATAAAGAAATTGCAACTACAGTAATCATAAATGAGAGAAAAAAGACGTTTTTCGACTTCGACTATGCTAAATAGAGCGCATTGACAAAAGTTAATATAAAAAAATAGTCAAAAATGTGTTACTTTTGACTATTCTATTTAAAATTTTGGTAAAGAAATATATAAAACTGCTAATGAATCTCAATGTAGACGTAATTCTCGCGTATTCC